TCGACTATTAAATCAGTCGTCGACGATTTTGATAGTCGACGTAATCGTGATTAGTCGACTAATCGTGGCAGCCCTAGTTTACAGACAGAAACAGTGAAACACACATAAACGCTACCAATGACATGACCTACCTGATTGACCTAACTATAAATAAGACCAATAAGAGAGTAGCATCAATCCTGCAACTATGGCAGAAAGTTAAAAATCCAAACTGTTTTGATAAAAACACAATAAACTAGTGAATACATTTATTCACTCAGTGTTGCCTCATAAATTGGATTTGGCAGTTGATTAGTTCGAGGGGCCCGGGCACATTTACTTACATCTTACACATGCAGACTTTTACATAATGTTCAGGTTCTAAAAACTGAAGCTGCTGTATCCTATAGACATTTAAGGTCTGCTTTAGAAGCCAGCTTCTTGAAGTGCCTGCACAACAACAACAAAATCTGAATTTTAATAAAATCTGTTCTTCCCTTTATTCGTGCCAGCCAACCACAGAGCAGCCTGGTCTTCTTTCTGTCAGCTGCTGCTCCGTTTTTCTCTCCACAAAAGTTCAGTTTTATCTCTGCACAGCATCCAGAACGACTCTGGCTTATCCTAAAAGTCGCTCTGAATTCTGTGAGGTAGTTTTCCTCTGAAGACTTTCTTGGTGCACAAACAGACTCTACATTTAACAGAGTGAAGATATGCACCGCAACTCCCATCAGGGTGCTTTTAAAGTCATGGGATTTGTCGGCATTTCCGACCAGCAGAACTGTAGCTCCTAAAAGTTCTTGGTTTGCCAGATCAGTAGATCGCAGATCACTATTTTTATATGATTTGATGGTTTGATTGTTGATTTTGTTCATCTGGATGCAGCATTTTCAGTGAAATGCGACATCCAGATGAACAACATCAACTTTTTGTGATTTCCTGACCTGGATGACTGACCATGCATCAAGACATTTTTACACAAACTTAAACACACAGATACTAAAACATCTAGCAGCAGGCTACTTTCGATAATGGGAAAAACTCCACTTCTTGTTTACATCTTGCAAATCAATTTCTGGGAAACTTCTGCTTCTTTTCTACCAAATAGCTGTCTCTAGGACAATGCAGAGCGCTGCACGAGAAGTCTGGCCACCAACAACGTCTCATCCAATCGCAAGGATGAGGGCTGATGGTCTAGCACTTAGATCCATCCAGACTACTCTTTGTCCTCGCAGAAGACACCGTGGTGTGGGAGGCCTGGACTTTCAAGAGCACACAGGGAGTCTAAGACCCAGAGCTATTTTAATTAGACAGGCTTTACTGAGGGCTTTGATTGTCTTAGCATTGACCGTCTGTCCTGTTTATCACTGGAACTCTCAGAGAAGGGCCCCCTCACTGAGGGAAGGGGTAAGGGAGGCAGAGATGGGACTGCTGGGAGGAGGGGGGGGAGTAGGCTGAGTGCCCTGTATCGAGCTCCAATTAAAGGGTCTCTTTCAGTGAGCCTCTGTGGACCAAAGAAAGGAATGTTTATGCTGTGACCGGGTGATGGGCTGAGCCAGAGGAAAGAATGGACAGCCCGTGGAGAGAACTGTTTGCCTGTCAGGCTTGGCGTGAGCTACTCAAACTGACCACTGAAGCTAGAGACTATTAGAGCGGGAAAGATGGAGAGCCGAACACTTAGCAGGACAAATAAACTTCAAAGGTAGCAGCTGACGACACTTGCAGAAGAACAAAGCAGCACCAGCAGCTTCCTGTAATTGATAAAAATGTGAATTCTCACCATTAAGAGGAGGGTTTGGTAGTGCATCGTGGATGTTTCGAACCAGAGGGTACGACTGTGAGCCAGGAAAACTCTTTTCCTTGAAACTCTGACAATCTACACAAAAATCATAACCATAAAATTATTGCAACATTAAAAAGGATTCATAACTAAAAAGTATATTTAAAAAAAAGAATCTGAAAAGTGCTAGACTTACTTGTGGGGACAGAGTAGGAGTACTTCATTTGTGAATCTTTTTTCCTACAATTTCAAATAACAAAAAACGAACTCAGAGGTTAAATAAAATAATGAACGTTGATATTTAGTGACAGCAATCCATGTATCAAAAATCAGTTTCAGTGACAGTATGCCCATACAGGAAAGTTAAACATTAGTACATGTGCAGTACCTTCGCTTCAACCAGAATCCAGCCAACACACAACTGCCACATATCATCAGGCCGAGGGCCACGCCCACTGCTACTATTACTGGCTGACTGGAGCCTGCAAGAGTGCAAGAGAGTCTGCGTAAACAACTGAACAACTGCTGTTATTACAAAGTACAAAGTGCTGCCTATCAGATTAATGGCTATATTGCCCTGTTTGCACTGGTGTGACTCTAATCTACTTGTATAAACTTCATACAGGTGAGTTGGTGGATGACACAAGTACATACTCGGTTTTGTTTCAACTAACACGGTGCACTCAGTGGTGGTGGGAGTGGGGCTTGGGAGCAGTGGACCCGAGTTAACTTTGATGGACGGAGAGTCTGTTTGGGAATTATCGAGACAGGAAAACTTCACATCAGGAAACTCAGCTGCAAATCAAACCATGTTAAAAGCAAACAAACCAAACTTTATTGTGGATAATCTGGAAGCATATGAGCTACTGCCTACCACCGCCTGGTGGACGGGAAGACCTTGGTGTGGCCTTACTAACAGGACAGCCCAGGACCTGAATCTGAGCTGAAGCCCTCCCGTGCCAACTCAGCGGCTGGAGGCGGACAAATCGAGCCACCACAGGAGGAAACAAGCTATTGAGCACTCTGAGGTGTCCATCGGTGTAGGCCTGAAACACCTAAGAGCCACAAAGACCAAAATGAGTTAGCATCTGCAAGTCTACTGCTTTAAAAAGCTCAGGACGTTGGGGCAGTGAAAGCATTAAGTAGAACACCTACCTTTCTTTCTTTGCTTGCAGCATCTTTGTAAAGCTTCCAGTTCTTTCTATCCTTACTAAATAAAAGGATGTAGGATTCCATGTAGTACTCATCTGATCCCGCTGTTACTATTCCTGACAAAAGAGAGAACAACGCTTGTTTGATTTTGTTTCAGATCAATATTCAAAAAGAAATAAAAGGCTTCGTGGATTTTAAACAACAAAAATAGCCCATCTCTGATTCATGAAATCACAATAAATTGCTTAAACCAAGCATATTTTGTACATAAATACTTATTATTGTTATTTTTACCTGTGATGGTGCTTCTATCGCTCAGCTCCATCTCCACCCACGGGCTCTGATCACTACTGTCTGCGGTCCAGAGTAGGAAGTTATGGCTGAAATCATTATTTCTGGCGTTCCTTGACTTTGTCTGCTCTTGACTGTTTTTATCAGCAAAAGATGAGGCGTTTAAAGCAGAAGCAGCCAAGTTGTTGTTACACTCTGTTCACGGATCAAAGGAAAACAAACAAACTGATGAATTATAATTTGAGCTTAATAGTAACACTTGCCTACACGTTTTCATTATAAACCACACAGATTCATGTTCCCTGTGATGAACTGCATGAAATCGAGAAAGTAATGGACACTGTTTTGCCTTAAAAGTGAGAAGAAGAAGAAAAACCTAAACAAATAATGTGCAGAAATGTAAATCGTTTTATTTAAAGAAGCTAAACAGCAAACCGGTTGTTTCAGATAGTAATGAAGCCTTTAGCTTCAGCGAGGAAGAGCTGTGTTTGCATTCCCTGGTGTTTGCGCTAGTCCTGCTGTTCTCATCTTTTCTTTACTTCCTTTTTCCCACGCTGTCCAAGTCTTCTCGCCCGCTATTCTATCGTCATCACTCCGATCCACTCGGATTCCTGCCCACCACCTCTGGGTGAATAGGTGTCGGCTTCCTGTTCTTTAAAACTCACTGCAATTCTGTCACTCTGCCTTTCAGACTGTCATTCATGCAACCCATGTCCCCCCAGTCTCCATAACATCCTGGATGTTCAGAGAGTTTCATCCAAGGTCTTTGTTTGCCATCTGCTCCACCACCTGTGTTTACACTTCAGGGGTCCATCCTATTTCCTACCTTTGTTGGAACACCGCTCAGCCATGCCGAAGGTTGTCTAAACACTTTCCTCAAACATCGTGAACATTAAACGTCATCATCTGAAGTTATACAACCCCAATTTAAAAAAATAAATAAATAAAGTTGGGACACCGTGTAACATGTAAAAAATATGTAAACATTTTTAATAAACAAAACAAAAACAGAATGCAGTGATTTGCAAATCTCATAAATTCATTCACAATACAAAATGTTTAAACTGAGACATTTTACTATTATATTAAAAATATGAGCACATTTTAAATTTGATGGCAGCAAAACGTCTATTAAAAAATAATAATAAAAAACATGTTGGTACAAAAGGCTGGAAAAGTAAGTGGCTCTAAAAAATAAACAGTTGGTGGAATGTATGCAACTAATTAGGTTAATTAGCAACAGGTCAGTAACATGATCTATTATTAAAAAAAGAGCATCATAGAGAGGCAGAGATTCATTAATCTGCAAAAAACGGGGTCTACAAATTGTGGAACAATTATTTTGGAACACTTTCTGAATAATGTTGGTTAGCATAAACGTGTGAAGAGTTTCTCATCTACATGATATCATCAAAAGGGTCTGAGGATCTAGAGAAATCTGTGTGTGCAAGGGTAACGCAAAACTCTGAATCAGATCCCTGTGATCTTTGCATTAAAAGCACAAATGATTACATCATAGAAATCAATACCTCCAGAAGTCAATCTGTGAACATAGTTCACCATGCCATTCACAAGTACAGGTTAAACCAAAGAAGAAACCATATGTGGACAACGGTCGATGGTACGGGGGTGTCAGTGCATATTAAATTGAGGTCTCCACATCTATAAAGGCCCCACCAGTGCTGAAAAGTATATAGAGGTTTTAGAGCAACATGCACTCCCATCCAGATTACCTCTACTTCAGGGAGGGCCTTAATAATCTCAGCAAGACAATGCTAAACCACCTGTGAGAACAGAAAGGCTTCATGGTAGAAAAGTCTAGCTACTGAAATGGCCTGTCTGCATTCTGTACCTTTCACCAAATTTTGAGTTAAAAGAAGCAGATCCAGAATAAAATATGGCTTTACGAGATCAGCAAATCACTAGATTCTGTTTTTATTTGGGGTTGTGAATGTAAAGTCAGGCTCATACCTTGGACGAAAAGCAGCTTCTTTTCAGAAAGTGATCCCCTGTCAAAAGAAGTGAAAAAGAAATATTGATAATCAATACAAATCAGTTACATTAACTAGCAGCTAGACATTTCCACAAGATCTCATTTAAAATGTGGAAAACAAACACATACATTTTCGAAAGGACTCCATTGGCAAAGGTGGATTCATACAGCGTAAGGCTTCTCCCACGATTCACAGCGATATGGCCTCCCAGACTGTCAGATGTAGCTCCTGCATGGACTGCAGACTTGCACAGCACCGAAGTCTGTGGCAGAAGAGAGAAATGGAGCCTTTTCAGACATGTATTTGATAAGAAGCACAGTACAATATAGGGCTGCCACAAACGATTATTTTGATAGT